CGGTTTCAAGGAGTTATGCGCTTATTAATATTAAATAAAAATTGGCTCCAAGATTTTATGCTGTATCCAAGAGCAAGAAAGTGTTGCCGCTCCTACACGTCAAGTTCATTGATTTAGCACAAAAAACGGCTTTTAAAAGCAGGAGCCATACCTTGCTGTCTGAATGATGTAAGTTGTTCAAGTGCGGACTGACGTCGTGAAGTGTGTTTTCCTTGCTGATACCTTAATCATAAAGGTCTGTTACAAACTCGGAAAGGATGAAAGGCATGACTTTGTTGAGAGGGAGTACGTGTGCGTGTTTTCTTCATTGTCTGCGTTCAATAAAGTGTCAGTAGCGATATCTCAAGAATCCCTTCCGCATGTGACGAATATTTTTGACATGGCTGGGAAACGCAAGACATGTACCCATCCTTTTCATTGAACAGAGCTGAAGGAGGCAGACAGGAGAAACCTACTTAAGTGATTACTTTCGTAGTTCTAAATGCAGGCACAGCGGCGGTTCGCACAGTTGGGTAGGAAAGGTTATTGGCTAAAAATAGTTTGAAGCACTTCGAAAAGACGTATACGGGCTCTTACGCTGATAGATTAAAGTAAGACACGGTCAGAAGCCGAGGATCAAACACTTTAATAGGTGAAGCTTTCGGAACTCAGGACGGTGTTCCTTCTCCAGCACAACATATAATATACGGCGAAGATATCGTGGTCATAGGGATAAGCAAGTTTACAGTTAAACATTGTAACGGAGACAAATAAGGAATGCAAGGGGAAATTGAGGCGAGAGAGAAAGGAACTCTAAAAATGGGAAATGCATAGAAATTAAATAGTAAAAATTGAATTATTTAGGATGAGGTTCCAAACTACGGAATATATCTTTGAAGCTTAATTTGTCATTGACCAGGCTTGCACCATTAGCTTTAATATAGATCGATTTCTCTATCGTTAGACCGGCGGTGGTATTGTCTTGATCCAAGATCTTCACATCCTTGGGATTAACGCGATGCAATTTATCCGTAGAGTGCATTAAAATAGCCAAGTATTCTTCATTTCCATTCTCAAGAGCAGTAGACATCATTTTAGATGAGTTTTGGCCCATTTTTTCTCATCCCGATTTAGTTTTTTTACAACCTTTCCGATTATTTTGTTTAACAGCCCAGTTTTTAACATGAATCTCTGTTGGAAAATATTCGCCATACAAGATGTTGCGTAAGGTGATAAATTTTTTAGACATGACTTTGAATTCAGCCTTACTTAGATAGCGACAGACGGATGGAAACAGATTTATATTGAAAGGTGAGGATAAGATGTTATGATGAGAGGCTATGTTTAGATGGAAGGTGACGATTATTACTTGAATGAAAGAGACTATGCTGGAGAAGCATGCTGTCCTAGACTTTGGTTTTAAGTATAATGATAGATTTCGGCTTTTGGCTGTTCAAGTCGACGCACTATTGCAATAAAATACCGTCCTAGGTTCCGAAAGCTTCGTGTGTTAAAGTGTTTTATTCCAGTCTTGGTAGAAGCGTAGGGCGGTTTCTTACCTTAATCAGTAGTTGGACACTTCCATATACTTTCATAAGTAACAGACTGTTTGCCTTACCTCGCTTCAGATTGTGTAGTTCTACTTTTTGGTATACTTGA